GGGATGTTTCACTTTCAATGAATTGGCATTTTTAAATGGAAAAACATTCCATCAGATATTTTCCAACCAGTTTTAGTACTTAATAGACACATGTAAAATTTAATTCCTCTCTTTCTCTTGTCTGTTAGGAATTATTTCCAGACACATTGTAATACCTCGGACCTGCATCAACTGCTTTCAGTTGCAGAAAACTCTGTATGTAAAATGAAAAAAAGAAAAAAAATCTCTGCAGTATTATGGAAATGAATATAATTTCATTTGACTTGGGACAGCCATCAGCGGGCCACAAAAGTCTCTTTCAACAAAGAATAACAATTAAAGACATGGTCCATAAAATCTGTCACTATATTTGGGAGGGAGTGAAGGGGAACAAAAAGCAACAATCACAAAACCATCAACAGACATGCATAGGATTCTTACAAAAAAAAAAAAAATCACAACATCACTATATGTTTTCCTGTTCTATGTGTTCACAACATTGATTGTAGAAACTTTAACAGATGCTATGAAATTTTTGCCAGAATGTGTTCAAGCCATTCTGAAATTACTTCGAAAATAAGAGATGATCCGGAGGTTAATAAAAACCTACCTGTTTTCTAAGTTTCCACAAATAATAAATGTCAGATAAATTCCAGCTATCAAATATTTCAGTACTTCAGTTATCTGGTAGTTTGTCAGGGGTTTTTTTTGTTTTGTTTTGTTTTTTTCTTTCCTGAGGCATATTCAGAGAAATGGCTAAAGGCACTGTAATGGTCTTCTGGGACAGGAAAACTAAGGTTTCTGTAAAAAATGTTAAATTAAATTTTATAGTGATGCAAAGTCAGGGAAGAGTTGTTAAGGGATGGCCTCTTGCCACAGGGTGGAGTTTTGTTTTGGTATCCTTTTAGAGTCTGCAGGTGTTTGGCAGGAGCTGAAATCAGGGCCAGCTGTGATATTTCAGCTCCGATATTTCCCTCCCCATATTTCTCAGAAGTGATGCATCAGGGTGATGTCTTACACCTGATGTACTCAACTTGTGTGGTATGACTGTAACTGCTTTGAAAAGAGGAAAAAAGTACCACTGCATGGCTCATTTTTATTTTCGGCAAAGCAGCATTGATATAGTAATATTCATCAACACACACTGATTTAGTCTGGTAAAACATTAGCTAACAAACTGCTTATAATATTCTTGGGTTGCTCTGTTACTTCTTATATATGTCAGTCACTTGAAGTAATGACATTGTATAAGGAATGAAAAAAAAATTACGTTGCAAGAAAAAGGGAGGATAACGCTTTAAAGGAAACAAAACAACAACAACAGAAAAGCATTTATTTGCCTTGCTTAACCAGCAAAGATCTTTGTTCTTTCATAGTTAGCTGCAGTACAGCACGTACCTGTTTTTGTTTTGTTTTATCTTTTGGGAGAATTTGAATAGTTTCTATTAAAAATTGTATTCTCTTTTAAGTTTGTTTTGTTTGGAAAACCTCAAACCACACTGTATTTCATACACATGTTCCCCAGGGTATGCTAAATAGGACCATACTGAGGTCACTAGTAAGTTTTTAAAACGTTTTAAGAATTCCTTTAATGTTTTGTACTATCTTGGCCTGGTTAAAAGAACATATTTTTAAAAAATAGCTTGAAGAAGTATGACTATAAAAAGTTTCATGAAAATAGTCTATACTGTACTATTTAGAGTTTGTAAGAACTTTTACAAACATTATTTCCTCCCTCTTGTTTTTAAAAAAGAGGTCTTCTCTACTACAAAATCTGCTTCTCTTTCTCTCAGCCCTTTTAACTATCCATGCACAAGCACACATCTAAGCTTGTACTCCTATCCACAGACTGATTTACTTTGCAGCACTTAGCCTGTGGTATCCATTTTAGCTTCACAAATGAATAAAAGATTATAATCGGTGGGAAAAGTGGACATTTTACTCCATTCATGGAAAAAACAGTATCAGCTGGCATTCCAGCTTAGTGAAAAATAAAAAATCCATGGTTTTTGGCAGTTCACTTGGAGTATGATTGAAACTGCTAATGATATTAACAATATGTGCTGGGACCAAAAAATGTGTTGTTTTATCTCAGTTTATAGAAGCAGTTATACAAACCCCTCTTGGCCTTCAGGGTTCTGAGGTCCTTTTAGTTAAAATAAAATTTGAAAACATGACCCACCTGTAGGTGATTAAGTTCCGTTAGACCATTTTAGTCACCTCTTTTAGCTGGTCTTTCCTATCTCCTCAGACTTGCATGTACTTCTGTTACTCCTTTGTATTATTCCAACAGTTCCAAGGACTTCTGTCTTTGGCTGCTAACAGCTCATTGCATCTTTTGAAGCACTGCTAACAGCTGAGCCAGCATGTGCTTTGAAGACTGTTGACATGCGCATAGCACACCTTGGTAACCAATGGTGCAAGACTGCACTTATAATGAAAGACATCTACCTTACGGGTATTCAGATCTATAGATTAGGAAGATAATGGCAATAAAATAAAAAATGGAGTTGTGTTCAGATCCAGTTCTGCTGATAACACTTAAAATGGAAGAAATCAACAAAATCTAAGCACCATCTGTTAGCAGTAGATTGAAGTTTGCCTATACTGATGTATCACCAGGTTTAGTGTAAGTATTTATACTTGTTGCTATATAGTATTGTTAAGTAAAGCTATTACTCACAAACTAAGTGGCAACTTTCTTAGAAATACATTTTCTGATCTAAATAGAGCCTGGTAAAAACAAACAAGAAGAAACCCCACATTATAACGGGAATGTTGTAGAGAATTATTACATCCTCATATTTAATGACTGAGCTTTACACATAAGATTTTTCTTGTTGTGATTACAGCATGTTCTTTTTGGTGTGTGCTGTTTCTTCCTTTACATAACTGGGACTTCAGAGTGAGAAGATTCTTGGATTCCAGATTCTGAGGTGTTGAGATAGATTTCTCCTTAGTCTGTACATTGTCCCAAGGCACTCTCATGCTTTCTGAGGCTTCAGAAACCAAAATTACAGACTAGGTTATGAAAGAGCAAAGCTATGCACAAGCATGTGTGTTTATCCCAGATGCATGCTGTCTACACAACAGCAAAAGGATGAGCAAGTGAAGGCAGACTGGACAAGGTACAATAGAAAAAGCTGTACTTCAGAACAAATGTGAAGGTGAAAATCTTTGCTTGAACTGGCCCTAAGTATCTGAATCCAAAGTACAGGTCAATGAGTCCTGTGAAGGTCTGAAGTGGTCACTACCAAAATAAAAATTCAAGAAGATAGCAAACTGCGCTGAAGAAACTGAGTATGCTATTCCAAATTGCTCATCTCCTGGATAGCCTCTTAGATATGTAAAGATGGAGTGGGGGGCTTAACTTTATGTGAAGTGATGTAAATATAAGAGCAATACTTTAGAATGTCAACAAGGCTTCATATTTTGAGAAAGAAGAGGAAAGGACTGGATAGACTCTCTCCCACACACACACACAATTGAAGAGAAAAAGAATTGTGAGAGAATGCTTTAGGAGGTAGGCAGCATCAGAAATTAAACCTAAGTATAACATCGGACATTACCAGAAATACTGACATTTCATTTCCAACAGTAATAAAAACATGGTCACTGAGTGCCATTTATTTCAAAGAAGAGTGTAGAAGAGACTTTTTCAAGTAGTTTCATAAGGAGAAAAGAAAAGCATACAAACAAAAATCAGTATTACTCTTAATGGGAAAAAAATTGAAAAACCTGCCACTATTGGAAAGCACTGTGATACCTTTCATGGACAGGTTAACTCTGACAGGTTATTTAATATTTAGATGAACTCTAAGAACAAGATAACCACACTAATCTTTTTTTTTCAATTTGGGAGGTAGCAGACATGCCACAACATATGACCTTTTAAAAGCAGTCTTATAGGGCAATTGACTTTTTAATATTTGATGCAGCATCAAAAAAAAAAAAAAAAAAAAAAGACTTTTTTTTAACGTTGTCCCAAGCACAGCCAAGTCAACTAAGTTCAGAATAACATAAAGACTCTTGCTGTACATTCTTCAAAGCTCAACCATAAACATAAACCCTGTGAAAATTATGAAGTGAAAAATTTGGCCCACACATGCTCTACAGCATGGTACTACATCATTTTAAGGAAAAAGAGCACATTTATCTGTGAAAGAAATTTCTGTCCTTGTGGTAGCCTTACAAATGTTCTCTTACCATTCTAAAAGTACAGTAAACATATTTATAACAACCATTTATAGTAAACTTATTCCCTTATGATAAAGATTGATTTGCATGTTTTTGTTGTTTTGTTTGTTTTTCCCCTAGGACAACATTTGTATTTGCACTCCTGACAAACACTTCTTTTTTAGACGAGGACACACAAAAGACTGGTTCCTTCCCCCCACCTCTCATGCTATAGCCAATTATTTCTCTTGTTATTTCCATTAGTAGAAATTTAATTTTAAGATTCACTGCAATATAGAAGAACTGTAAAGACTATTACACCATTCAAGACAGTATAGTTGAGTTTGTGTTAGGCCCTTTAAACAAACATAATCCACAGTGTGAAGAGAAGGGAAGGGATCAGTGAATATACATATATATATTTTTTTCCCCTCCAAAACTCTAAATTCTGGTCATCTGTACTCCGTACAGAAAACTGGTTGCTTGTGGACAGCAAGTAAGTTACTTGAATGTATATATGATAGAATGATATTATGGATCTATTAGAGTTTCTTTCCTTCCTTTACCAGCCATTTTTGAAAGATAGACTGCATACAAGACATAGAGAACACCTACAGTTCAATGCATCATGGCCAAGTCTGTGTTCCCAAGCACATAACTCATTTAGGGATCTATATTTACTTCTACTTATACGATATTATTGGCCTTAAACTCAAACCCCCATATAATTCTCAAATCCCATTTTAAAGAAGCTGAAATCTGGTTAGAGTGGCAGGAAAAGTGATCATTATTCAGCAGTTGTAAAACACTAGTAAAAGTATAGAAAATACTGGGCAAGAACCAACCTGTGGATCCGAGAATACCTGCTGCATATTGTTGATTGGACCATATGGAACTCCACTACCTTCAAAGAGCTGCAACCACTTGCTTGTTGTTTTTTCTGAAAACCTAAGAATATAAGAAGCATGTGGTTTCAACTCAGTGCTTCAGATTCTGAAAAAAAGTATATCAACTCTCCTCCCTCTCTCAGTGTTTCCATACCCTTCCCCATTGATTTCTTCCCAGGCAGTCAATAATATAACGAAAATGTACTACACATGTTCCTCAGAAACACAAAAAGCAAAGCCACAGGGGAAAGAACTTAGCTAAGCTGACTTCTATTTCTATCTGATCATCTGAAGAAATCCAGCAATGATGTAAAGCTAAATTTATCAGCAGTTTCAAAAAAGGATCAATGATTTTCCTCCAGTCCTTAATTACACTAATGTGCTTGACATTTGTTTTCTTTTATGTGCATATTTAAAAACAGGAAAAAAAAAAAATATATATATATATATATATATATATATAATGTGGGTATGAGTCTAACATGCAACGCTGCTCACTAAAAGATGATTTTGTAGTACCACAGTGTTTTTCTTCCATTACATCTAAAACATGTGTCAGGATTAACAGACACATTTTTTGGTCAGATAATAATATTAACTACATATTTATTTGTTGTTTGATTGTATAATCTATATAAGGACATCCAGTTCAGCAGATATAAACTGTGCCTATGCTGGTGAATGCAGAGCTTCTTGTCCTTTACAGAAGGCTGTGCTGAATTTTTGCTGTTATCTGAAGCACTTCCTTCCTGAAAGGCTCCATAATTCACGGCCCACTCAGTTCCCTCGCTTCCACAAATAAATAAAAAGGTGTTTTTCAGCTACTACTTTTTCTGACCCCCCCAACCTCCACAGCTTTCTAACTTCTAACAAAAGATACTGTATTTATAAGAGGACTCTAAAATAATCATGGTGTTGAAGACAACACTAAGAAATGAACATAATTCTCATATTTGTATTATCCACAATCATTCCCTAGAATGATTGGTAACACAAATCCTGACATATTTTGTGTTTTGTACTTTTTTTTTAAAGTTCATAAAATTCTCATTTAAAAAAAATATTTTGGAATTTAAATATTTTGAAAATGAAGTCTTTTCAGCTATATTGTCAGTTATCTATATTTACATAATCATTATGCAATTTCATGGTGTCATAGTAAATTTTAATAATATTCTGTATATACATCCTTTCTTATTATGAGTGACTGAATGTACAGTGAAGTGCCTGTTTTGCAAGAGCTCTATGTGGTGCATAAGCTTCTGAAATTTTAGCTTCTGCTTAGATTTTTCCTTACTATTTAATAGACAAGAAAAAAAATAATTAAAAAAGTCTTAGTCTTACTTATTATTTTATTCAATTTGTGGTTGGAGAGAATTCCTAAAATCTTTAAATTCATTCAAAGTTGTGAAATCCCACATTCACCATCCCAAAGAAAACACACATCATTTTCTCTTGAAATTAAAACTCTTGACTCAAATCTTATAGATATAGAATATCTATATCTATATATAGAATAGATACCTTTATTTGTAGTAAAAAGGGGTGGCTGAGAGCATATTGTTAAAGCAAACTGTTTAAAAAGAAAACAGAACATCACCAGTGTCAGTAAAGGCCCATTACTGAGATTTTGACAGCAACAGTTTGTAACTATTTTGTTCATTCACTTGTAGTTTATATATTGAAATATCTGTTACAGTTCTAAGAGAAGAAATGCTGCTTCAAAATCTAATACAAGACACAGATTAAAAAATGCCCAAGTTCATACCTTTCTGATAACAGCTACACAAACTTAATTTTTTATTTATTTTACTAACCTGCATTTATCACTCATCTAACTATAATTTTAATAACATTTATACAAATAAATACTATAAGCTTTCCTCCTAGCAAAGTGCTGATGTTTAGTTTACTAGATGTCCATTGATATCATGCTCAGTACTCCAGAATATCAAGTATAGGAAATTGATGACAACTAATATCAAGTATAGGAAATTGATAACAACTTAAACTTCCAAGAGAAGTAGAAGATTGAAATTCTCTCCTGAAAATGAAAATCTCTATCAGCAGGAAATTATGAGGCCTAGATAATCGTTCTCCCTTTAATGCCTGTTTTCAAACATTCTGTGCTTTGATATTGCATTTTATATTTCCCTACTTGGTACACAATTTCCTTTTCTAAACTAAAAGATTTACAACGTCATCTGCTGCCTTTCAGTGGGAAAATATATTTTCTTATATACATGTATAAAAGCCCTGACAGAAACATGCACTAGGCTAACAAACTGTCCATCTTCCTAACTTAAGCTAGGGCTATAACATCCAATATTGTACATTATCTGAATTCCGAGGCATGATAGTTGCATGTGAATCTTTGTCCACAGAGCCTCAATGATATTGAGTGGCTGCAAGAGAGCTCAACCATGGGATTCACACTGCAGAACTAAAGCTTCTTGTATTTCCAGATGAATCCCTTTTACATCTATAACAGATCGAGCATTTTAGATATCAAGTAAATGCCATTTAAACTATCTGTGATTTGTCTTTGCAATCATTTTTAGTCTGTAGTTTAGCTGTCTACAATTATTACTAGCATTTTAGAAGTTCAAAATAATTTATTTTTTACTCTGTTAGTCTGTAGTACAATACTTGAATGCATGCTCATTGTAAAAAGACCTGAAAAAAGGGAACATACTCTGATGGAGAATACACCTAGGACCTTTACTGTGAAGCATATACTAAACTGTGCCTCACTAAAAGAGGTAGCAGCCCCCATGATGCCTTATTTGTATTTTAGGCAGTACTCTAAACCTCCTCTCCACTAAATTACACAGCGCTTGGGAAGCTAACAAAGTTATGATCCTGAAATAAGGCATCAGATTCTGCAACATTTAACTGTAAGGATATTCTAGGCCTTAAAAATGCTATAAGAACAGAAAACGTATCATGGGTTGAAAATTGAAATGCTACTTCCTGAGAAAAAATACAACTAAATTTTATTTTCCTAAAAATTCTAATTCCTAATTTAGCAGGCAATATAAAACAAAGAACTCTAAATTTAAATTACCCACTCAGTAAAATAATCCAGAAAACATTACAGCACCACCTAAGAATTAGCCAAGATGTATGCATAGAACAGAAAGGACTCGCATCTTTTTTCCTTACACTAACCAAAAGTGTAGTTTTGTTTCTGTGAAAACAAGACCTAAAGCCTCTTCAGCTTACTAATAATATATTTGCTATTATAGCATATTTGCTAGTGAAACTCATAAATCATTTTTGCTGCAAACTCAAAAAAAAAAAAAAAAAAGAAAGAAAGAAAAAAGAAACAACGTGATCTTCACGTAATTTGCAATAGTGACTTTGAACAGCATATAACTTCTGGATGCTAACACAACCCTTCCAAACAAGTAAGATTTATCACCATTCAAATAAGCAATTTTTCTGCTTCCAGGAACCTCAGGCTATCTAATTTTGAATATCATCATGAAGTCACTTCCGATTTCTATTAGAAAACTTGTTTCTACTGCAACCAAACTTTGATTTCATTTTAATTTGCATTGGTAGCATTCCTTTAAATATAAAATAATGTGTGAACACTGAGATTTATGTATACAATATCTTCTTTTATTTTAAATTGTAATTTCTAAAACTGCATTTCCTTAGCTCTAAGAATGAGAGAATGGAACATTAAAAAAAAAAAAGTGCAACTGCTTGACACACACAACTTGGATAAAATAACATAGTCAATTTCTTGTTAATTATTTGTGTAAACTTTGTTTATTTTAAAGAACAAGGAATCTTTTTCAGTTGATCAATCCAGGCAGGCAGAGAAACGCATGACATTTCTGAACACAAGGACAAGAGATAAGGTAGGTAACGGGAAGGCTGTACCTGCACAACACATGGTAAACTCTAGATTTGAGAAGAAATAAGTGGAGTACACGGAGTACAGAACAAAGCTAATCACAGAGAAGACTATGAAAATAATTACATTGTTCGTCTTTGCTGTGCTCCACAAAACTGCTATGCAAAGGTGGTTATCTTCCCATCTCACAGATGGAAGACTTATCTGCAATGTATCAGTTCTTGTCAAATATGTACTGGCTATGAGCTGTCACAACAGATCTTATATACAATATCAAAAAAATGTCATTCTGTTTCTGAGGCCTTTTCTGGTTATGGATTATGGTGTTCAACAAAATTAAGATCTATAAAGCAAGCATTAATCCACTGTGCGCATTCTTCAGATATGTCCTATTTTCCATGTTTTCTAGGAAACATACAGTCAGTGCTACATCCACCGTGGAAGTACATCCTCTCACACTTCTCTAATGGATGAAGCCACCTAATTCCACACAAAGTATGTTTAGAAGAACTACCGAAGCAAAATGTTGCTCTTTTCTGTATGAAGCATATGGCTACTAATTTATAGTAGTAATTTGAACCAAATGGAGACACTGGAGCAATCAAACTAGGATTCCGCTTTTTTGTTTGTTTGTTTGACTAAATGTTTAAAAACCACCGCCAATCACATAAACCCTCTCTGCACTCAAAGTTCACAAGCATTCTTGTGTTCTGTAACATGACTGGAGTTTGCATTATTATTTTTGTGTTATCCTTTGTTCTATCAACAGTCTATTAACTTTCAAATATCTACACCATTTTCTCTCTTCACTATTAATCATCCCTCTAGAGGTCATTAATTCAGTAAAATAGTTTGTGTAGTTTCTAACAGTAGCATCTGTGGAAGACACTGTACAAAACATAAATCATAGGAAAAAAATACTTTGAAAATTCAAAAAACAGGTCATTATTCCCTAGTGTACCATAAATATACCATTACAGCTTTTGAAATGAATATTATAGTATTTAATCAATAATTGGTAAGCATCTCTGTGTTAGGGTCTAATTAGTCTCTTCTCGGTTACAAATTAATCACTCAGCAAACCATTACAGACAGTTAAAATATTTGGGGATCAACATGATTGTACTGACATGTTTTGCTGATGAATATGTTAGCTACTTTAGATGTCACATACAGTAGATTGTAAGTGATAG